ACTAAATTGTGGTGTAACTTGGCAGCGTTTAGTGCCAAGCGGTGTTACAAGTGTTTAGCTAGGTTGTGTTGTCTAGCTTTTTTAATTATTCTGGAAACACAGAATCTGAATATTTTGTGTTATGTGCAAATGTGTTATGTACAAATATTTTATGCTATGTGTATTCAGTAGCATAGGCAGGGTCTTTTGATGCTTCAGATAGCACTTTCAACCAAACTTAAGTGTATTCACGTTTATAGATTAAAATACTTTGCAAAAAATTGATGTTGTTAAAGCTTAGGAACAAATGTTTAAAAAAAGTATTTTTTCTAACCTGAATTTTTTTAGACATAACAAAGTTAAACTCTTCAACAGCTTCTAAATATATATCGGAAACAACAAAAATCCTGCCTACACTACTTGTGTTATTGTTTGTCATCCTGTAATGTTGTTGTGATGTTTTGTGTTGATAGACAGCTTGGCTTACCATCACGCTGGTGTCTATCATTAAAAATGATTATTGGGTAGCTTCATTACTGAAACTTACTCCTAATCATTTACTAAAAGCCAAAAAATATTTTAAGAAAAAATGCCGAATTTTTTTGTGTCAGTAAGCATTTTTATCTTTAGCAATGCTGATAAAACTGAATTTTTTGTCCAGCCTAAAAACCCAAATATTAGAGACTTTTACAAAAGCACTCTCACAAAGTAATTATCTATTATTTATATAATATTACTAAACTTCATTTCGTATCTTTCATTTTTCAAATGAATTAACATAAAACAAATAAATGTGCATTCAGCGTTATCAACAATGATTTTATTTCATCCTCAGACAATGCTTTTATAATCAATTTAAAACTCTTTCAAATCGTTAATCATTTTCTAAAGTCGAAGAAAAAGAATCATCAATCTTCATACCATTTAATAAAGCTATTTTAATAAAACGCAATACAAATTGTTGTAAATTAGTATTTGATTAATTTTCAAGTTGTTACCTTATTTTGCAGTTTCCTATCACTTTGAATTGAATTAACTAAATCCAATATTATAATACTTTATATCAAGAACTTCACATTTTCTGTTTTTGTTTTATGCAGAAAAACAGATCAAGTTAAGTTATTTGACTTGCCTAGCTACTTTTACACGCCTAGCCACAGTGACTGTGCATAAATCAACAGAGAATTTGGGTTTGGGCAGGTTGTCTTGAACTAAATGATTTACCTTCTTCATGTTATGCGCTAAATATAAATATACGGAAAAGGTGCATATGTGAATTTTTTTTTTTTTTTTCTAGCACGTAATCTATTGTTCACTAAAAAATATTAGAGGGAGAAATAGAGATAAGGTTGATGTGGAATAGAGTTTGTCCTCCCCCTATGGAGTAGAGTATGCAAATATCTAACGTACGTAATTAAGTAATGATAAAACATACTGAAACATTTTTCAAGTTTTATAGCTTGACTTGGACTTAAAAATTGCATTGCGTCAACCTCTCTTTAATTTTTGATCTACAGCAATTCTGTTAAAAACAATTTTTATATATTTTTAAAATTTCGATATTTGATGTGTTTCGATATTTGAGTGGTTAGCGAGCTAAGCTTCTGAACGTAATAGTCGTGGCTCAAATTTACCACCAGCGATTTTTTTCTTAGAATCTTTAAATTACAAAATATTTGTGAAGTTAAACAAGTTAAATGTTATACACTTTAACCGTTTTTTCTTTATAAATTTTAAAAATTTCTAAAAACACCAATAAACGGGGCGAACATTTGTTGCGTCTGTGTCACGATTTTAATACTGTTCTCACATAATTGGTTCTAATAAGCTACGGATAGTCTTAAAAAAAAAAGTCCTAAACCTAATAAGGAAAAAATTTGATAAAACCGTCCTGCTACTCCACATGGCATTGCAGTGGAGGCAGGGAAAAAAGAAGCAATTAAAAAGTTTTTCGCTATCTTAAATTTTTTGCTTTAAATATAGCCATTTTAAAAAAAATGTATTGAGATTTTTTAGGCGCGGATTTGAAGCCTTGCATAGCAACTCTGATGACTGGGCACTTAACTTGTGATCTATCAAAGTTATGCATGTAGTTATGCGCTTCAACATTTTTTTAAAAATGTAAAATGAAAGCAAAATAAATACCCTAAGTAAGAGCTAAATAATAACGTTTAAAAATTACCAAACTTTTTGTTATATTATTATTAGTTTTTCAACTTTTAAACCACAAAAGTTATGATTTATTTTTTTTGCATGACTTTGGACGCTTTAAGCGACTAACGTTTTAAAGAATTGCATTACCGTTTCCGTCAAATACAAAGCTGACTAAAAATGACCGTTATTATTCAAAACTAAGCATAAAATAATAATAAATATAGTAAATAGTAACTATAAAAAATGGCTAGGACGCGACCATAAACCATGGTCTATGGCTGGTTTAAAAGTAGGAAGTAGTTTAGTTCAGAAAAATTTTTTTTTAAAAATGAATTAACGGGGTTTAATAAGCTACAAACGTATGCGGAAAAAGTGCGTATGTTAAAGTTTTTTTTTGCTTTCAAAGCAAATTTTTTTAATAAACTTTTTTCCGCCGTTTACTAAAAAATATTGAAGTAAATAAGGAACAAGTAAAGAAATGATTGGCGTGCAATAGATAAATATAGAAATAAAAGAAAAGACCTGTATTTACCGATACGGACAGCTAGATTAGGAAAATAAGGGAAAAAGGTTTGTGTGGAATAGACTTACAAAGACCCGTATTTTTACGGGTCGAATCAGCTAGTATATATACATATATATACATATATATATATATATATTATATATATATATATATATATATATATATATATATATATATATATATATATATATATATATATATATATATATATATATATATATATATATATATATATATATATATATATATATATATATATATATATATATATATATATATATTTATATATATATATATATACATATATAAATATATATATATATATATATATATATATATATATTATATATATATATGTATATATATATATATATATATATATATATATATATATATAATATATATATGTATAAATATATATAAATATATATATATACATATATATATATATACACATATATATATATATATATATATATATATATATATATATATATATATATATATATATATATATATATATATATATTTATATATATATATATATATATATATATATATATAATATATATATATATATATATATATAATATAACTAAATAATACAAATTTTAAAGTAATATTCAATTAAAGAATGGCATAATTGCACTTAAATTACTCGTTACATTAAAAACTAGTTCTCTTCAAGAGTTCTCAGTAAAAAGTAGCAAAAAAAAGTTTGCAATTCTTAACAGTAATTGACAAAAACTGTATAACTTTAAATTTAACAATTTATATGTTTTTTTAAAGTTAAGCAAAACAATTTGAAATTTTTTCCATTATTTAGTTTGAATCTACCTTTTTTCCAACCATATAGAGAAAGTTATATTTACTATTTACTATTTACTACTTTATATACTAATTATATGGCTTTCCTTTATATATTACTTTTCAGAGTTTCAGAGGATAGTTTTTATTTCAACATGCTGAAATAATTTTATTTCAACATGCTGAAATAAAAATCACTTTAGTTGATATAACTGCATAATTTTTATTTATTTTTTCTTTTCAGGTAAAGCAGTTATCATTATTTAGTGGTAAAAATCTAGCTAATGGAATTAAGAATAATTTGCCCACGTAGGTATTTAGCATATTTTTGAATTTTAACATTTCTATTTGTAAGTATTACATAATTTATCTTTTTTGTATAATTAGACTCAAAACAGACATTATTTTGTCAGAACAAATGGTCTAAAGAAGCATGAATGGTCTGAATAGGAAAAAAAAGTTTAAAGATTTGACAAGTTTATGTATCGCAACGTTAAGCTAATAAGTTTATCACTGGTAATCTCATTAGCTTAACATTGTGTTTGATTTACTTATATAACTAAAATTGATGTTTTGATAAAAAAAAAAAAAAAATTTCTTTGGCTATAGGATATTAAATGCATTTAGGTATATTTTATTTTATGATTTAATTGAACTATGTGTTTTTGTTTTATTTTGATGATGCTTTTAAAGTCAAATAAAAAATTAATCAGAATGGATCCCTTGCAACTTTTTGGGAGAGTAAAAAGGCATTTTTCTGACCTATTAAAGAGAACATCCATTAATATTGATATCAGTCAACGATGGCTTAATTAACAATTATCAACTGTTGTTTTTTTTTTTTATATTTTTCATTTTTCAGTAATTTTTTTTTTTTATAATATTGTATTGATTATACTATACAGAATATATTAGTTTTCAATTTGAAGTGTGTAACTTTGTTTGAAAAATTATGCTAATTTTTTGTAAAATTAATAACTTATTATAAATATATCAAGTTACACTTTATTTACTTTAATTTTTATTAATATCTTCCCTTGCCTAAATTAAATCATATCTGAGGTGTGTATTGTAAATCATTGCATCTTCATACAACTTTTTAAAAGATTGTCTTTGTAAAATTAGGACGTCTAAAGAAGACGTCCTTAAGTCTTTCACATGAGACCAGCCAGAAAAGTCCGTAGGACGTCTGAAAAGACGTCTCTAGAACATTTAATAAGACGTCTCTAGGACGTCTGTTCGTATTTTTTAAGAACAAACGCAAAATACTTCCTTATTTTTTTTCCTTACATATAATTTTTTAGCTAATATAATTTGTTATGAAGAATCATTGTAAAATTTGAAAAAAGTATTAAATTAAAACACAATTTTATATATATATATATATATATATATATATATATATATATATATATATATATATATATATATATATATATATATATATATACATATATATATATATATATATATATATATATATATATATATATATATATATATATAACTTATTTCAAAATAAACTGAAGCTTACCACATATTTCGTTTTGCAATAGTAGTAGCAGAAACATAATATACGCCTGAAAAAACATTTTTGTATAAATTGAATAATTGATATGCTGCTAGAATTTCTAATGTTTTTCTTTTAATATACATACATATATATATATATATATATATATATATATATATATATATATATATATATATATATATATATATATATATATATATATATATATATATATATATATATATATAATATATATACATATATATATATATATATATATATATATATATATATATATATATATATATATATATATATATATATATATATATATATATATATATATATATATACATATATATATATATATATATATATATATAGATATATATATATATATATATAGATATATATATATATATATAGATATATATACATATTTATATATATATATATATATATATATATATATATATATATATATATATATATATATATATATATATATGTATATATGTATATATATATAGCTTATAAACTAAATAGATAGTTTTATATATATAAACTAATTAGTTAATTTTTTAGTGTACATTTAATAAAATGTGAGTTGTGAAACTGTAATTCCGTGACATTAACATCAGAGTAAAATAAAATTTGCAGTAAATTAAAATTAATAATAATAAAAGTTACGAATATTACTTTTTTTTTTTAAAGTTTTTCTCATATTTAAGTTTAGGAGCATTCCTCGATCGACCCATTTTAGTATATGAGCCTTTTTTTATATCTGCTTCATTATTTTTTTGAAAATATTGATTTTATTAGCATTAACAACATTATTGGTTAGGCTGTTCTATTTATTTGCTTTGCTGTTTGTGAAGAAATGCCATTTTGTTTTGGATATACGCGTGTTTTTTTCAATGGTTTATTATGTCCTCTTATTTTTCTATATAAATTGTTTATTGGTGGGTAACTCTAACTTACTTATTAAACATCTTTTATTATTTTGTAGCATTTTATTATAAACCATATTTCTTTTCGCTTTTCTAAAATTGGAAACCTGAGTTATTTTTTTTCGCTGTTTATAGCAGATACTAATATCTTTTTCATAATAATAGTTCCAAAAAAGTGAAGATAATTTTAAATGGGGACGAACTAACAATCAGTAGAGCAGTTTCATTAATTTTTTAATAATGTATTAAAAATAATGTTTTGTTTTACCTAAAAATTTGTTTCCTTTTCATGCTATCATATTTACATGATATTAAAACACCAATACCTTGTTTTAAAAATAATTTTGACATAATACAATAACTTGCCTTATTTATTAGTTTACAAAACATTAGAAGTAGTGGGAATTTTTTATTCCTATATTCCAATGTTAAAGTAAAACAACCATTTCTCACTCTATTTACAAAGTTTAATTAAACTTTCTTGTAATACAGAGTAGTCATTGGTATTTAAAATAACCCAATTAATATTTGTATCATCAATTTACAACATTTTTTTCTAGTTCTTGTGATATGTTTCATCAATATAAATATAACAAAAACTAACGGCTCCAACACCGAGCCCTCTGGCCTTCCACTGGATACTTGTTTCCAATCAATATCATATGTCCCTAAAACAACCCTTTGAGTTCTGTTTTTCAAATGTGATTTAAATCAGCACAATAAAACTTCATTTTTACAAAATACTTTTAATTTTCTTAAAAATCTTTTGTGTGCTACTGTAATAATATTTAGCAAAGTTCAAAGAAACTATATCTATTAAAAACCACTTTACAAAGACTGTGTGTTTAAATCTAAAGACTCTATTGAGTTTGTACAACAGCTTCATTGCGGGTAAAGCCATACTGAGTATCTGATATTAGCTCTTTTTCCACAAGATTTTACATCAAAGCATCACTTATAATACTCTCCTAAACTTTACACATGATTGAGGTCAATGAAACAGGACGATACTCTGCCAAAGGAAAAAAAAAAAAAAATATATATATATATATATATATATATATATATATATATATATATATATATATATATATATATATATATATATATATATTCATGTCATTTTACTGGCGACTTTTTTTTTGAACTCTTTTTGAAATGAATTTTTTTAGAACTCTTTGAAAATACGTATTTAATAACTTTTGTAGACATATAAATTAGCTTAATTTGAAAAAAAGTCAAATTTGTTGTTTTTTTTTATCCTAAGGATTCGTCCATAAAGCACGTACGCTCATAGGGGGAAGGGGGATGTTTTCAAAAAGCGTACGAAAACATATGGTGAGATGATGGGGGGGGTGTATAATTCAAAAGTACGTACATCGATTTTCTAATTTATCACAATTAACCAGCTAATTAATAGAAAATATAAAATTCTGACTTAAGATCCTAGTTTGTCAACATAAAAAGATGTGTGGTATAGGGAGTAGAGGGTATAGTTTCTCTCAATGTCTCAGGACTTTTTGATGTTCTAGATAGGACACTTTCACACATTGTGCAAACTTTAAACTTAAGTATGTTTATATCTATGCCAAATGAGCAGGTCAGCAAATTAAGAAGGCGGAGGCCTGGGAGCAAAAAAGCCCTAAAACGTCCCCACCCCATTCCTCTTTCCCCCTCCTTTTTTCATCAAAAAAAAAAAAAAGGTGGACGGATGTAAATTTTGTATGGTCATAACTTTTGTTATTTAAAATGTTTTTATACGAAATTTAAAATCTGTCGATAAACTTAAATTTAATTTTTGATGATAAAGTTTAAATTTTACTATATTAGTGCCCTCACGCTTGGATAGAGGATGAGGGCGTTTGCAAGCGTTTTTTATTTTAGTGTTTTTGCTCTAGGGTTCCGTCACCCCACCTTTTTGTAAAATCTCCTCATTTGGCATAGTTATACTTAAGTTTTAGAACTTGCACTTGCATAATATTCACACCTTTGGCATATGCATACTTATGTTTGGAGCTTGTGCAAGCTTCAAACTTAAGCATACCTATGCAAATTTTGTGAAAGTATCGTATCTAGAACAACAAAAACTCCTGCGGGCACCGATCCACACATGTCACACCTTTTATACTGGCTCTGAGTAAGGCGATATTCAGGCAATCTCTTTTTTGAGTCAATAAAAAACAGGTTTTAGCTGTGCTGTGGCTAATGGGTCGGAGTTCTCCCTCCAAAAACGTATCATTTGGATCTCAAAATCTCCCAAATTTTACAGCTAGGTTTCCCTAAAACAAAAAGCTCCTTAAATTAACAAAAGGACATAAAATTTTCTGCCACTTTCACCCTCCAAATTAATGAGTTTTAAGCTTTGTTTTCGATATAACTGATCTCGTGTAGGACTCGTTTTTAACGGACTTACTAAATAGGGGCGCCCAAAAAAAACAGTCCGCCATAAAAATATAATTTTTTTTTTTTTTTTCTTGATATTTACAACTTTGTGATTTAATAAATATTCGTTAACGATGTATATATATATACATGATCGTTATTAAGAAATAAAAGCCGCGTTCTTTTAACTCGTCTTGTCGTCGAGAACCGCTAAAAAATTTTCGTGTTAATATTTCGTATTAATAAAATATTCTCAAAATAAATGAAATTTCAATAGGAATATATACTTAACATACTTAAAGATAAAAAATAATTCAGAATTCAGAATTGAAAACAATAATAAATTTAAAGAAAAAAAGAAAAAGAAAAGGGTTCCGTTATAAATACAAAGATGCCTTACACAGATTAAAGATACCATTAACAAAGTTGTGAAACTTTTTGTTAAAGGTTTTGTTATACAGTTTTAAGGTACTTTTAACAAAAGTGTTAAACAACTATTAAAAATTGTTAAATTATAAATTTTGTTAATGCAGTGTTAAATATAAAGTTAAAAAAGAAACAAAAAATTAAAAGAATATAGATATATCATCTAATAAAAAAATGACTTTTTTTATGTTTTTGTTTGAAAGAGTGATAGCTAACTTTTTGAGAAAAGTCAAAATTCTTTAAAACTATTTTATTCCAAAGTAATGCTCCTCGAAATGAAATACAGTATTTTCCAGAATTAGTTTGATAAGCTGATTGACGAATGTCATTATCATTTCGTAAAATGTACTTAGTTTTTTCTTTTTTGTTATACAAATTATGAAAAGGTACAGGAGAAATATTGTTTTTACATTTAAACATAAAGCATGTAACGTTAAAAATATTAAGCTCGCATATATTTAAAACTTTCATTTCAATTAATAGAGGCTTGGCATGAGTAAATCGATTCTTAAAAACTTTGCATTGTTTGATTGGTTATTAAAACGAAAAAATACATTTTGACTCGACCGAGGATCGAACACGAATCTCCGTCGCCTGAGTCCGCAATACTAACCGCTCGATCAAGCAAACATATTAATTATATATTTTAATTATTCAAAAAATAATATTTTCATATATTTGAAGAGGTTTTTGAAATTCGGATCCTGTGCAGCAAACAAAGAGCTTTTGGGTTGTATAAAGTATCTAAGGTACCTCCACCTTGTTTTTTTCATTTTTTTTTTATTTGAAATACCCCTCTCTATTAAGGGAGGGGTATTTCAAAAGCGTACGTACTTTTTGATGGGGAAAGGAACTTAGAATTACGCATGGCAACTAGGGGGAGGGATGGGGGTCAGATTTCAAAATTTTTGGTGTATATACTTTAAGGACGAACCCTAAGGCGTCCATAAAGTGCAAACGGCTGTAGTGTGGATGATACAACAAATATATTGAAATAAGATAATTTAACGCAAAATTTAAAAGCTTTTAACAAAAGCCACTAATCCTAAAAAATTAAAAATAATTTTTTTAAACTTTGTTGCGCTTAACCATCCGTATATTAACAATGTATACTTGAACAAATATGTTTTTTGTTTATATACATTGTTTATAAAATGTAAAAAATCCATTAATATAACGTCTTATTCAGAATTGCATTTAGACTTTTCTAATGATTACAAGTTTTATTTGCTCAACTGTTTTGTTTTGAATTTTTGTAGTTATGTTATTATATTTTTAAAAAAATTGGCAAGATTGAAAAAAAATTTTTTGTCATATTCAAAAGGAAAATTTCAAACTTCAACGTTATATTTGCCCCTCTCTTGATTGAGATCCCTCTCTAAAAATCTGCTTTTTAGACCTTTCAATATAATAGTCATAGAAATAAGACATTGTTTGCATTTTTTTTTTAATTTGTATGCGACATAATCAAATTAAAAAAAAAAAATGTAAGATAAATGCAAAAGGAAACTTGACGCATAAAGGTTTATTGTGCCACAAATCGACGTTAATGCGCAAAATCTTTTTGGCTTCACTTTTAGATTAGCGTTTAATATTATTCTTTAGTTCTTAGTCATAATCATAAGAATGAATTTTTTTTAATGATTTTGTTTTAGTGCTCTAAGATCTTCTTAGTTCCATTTGTATCGCGTTACGTACAAACGCCTGTAAGCGTAAACCTCTCTAGCATATGTTAAGTTTGATGGCATTATATGGAATAATTGCGTATATCTATATATCTATAAATGAGAAAACTTTAAAATTTCATTTTAAATTTTAGAGATCTTTTTTGCTATATTATTATTTATTTGCTATAAAGATCAAAAATTTTGCTATAAAGATCAAAAATTTTGCTATAAAGATCAAAAAATATTAAAATTTATTACGCTAAGAGAAGGTCTTAAACCCTTCAAAACAACAATGATGACAGCGCACTTAACCACTGAGCTATCAATATAATATATTTATCAGAAACACAAACCTTGGTGCAATGCTAAAAACTCTGAAGCGATCAGTCGTGTTTTATTGTGTGGATAAATTTAAGAAGTTGTAAACCTTCAAATTTATCTTATTGATTATATATTAGAATATTAAATTATTTAAAATGAGCAAATCAGTTGAACATGTCTCCATTGTAATGATTAGGGAACTTCTTAATGTTCAAAAAGAAATCATAATATCGTTTTTCAAAGAAACAGTTAAAAACTTTAATCTAAAAGTTGAAGCTCTGCAACAAACCTAGTTATGAGGCTCTTATAAGCTCAACGTATGCGGAAAAGGTGCGCATGTTAGGTTTTTTGCTCTTAAAAAATTTTTTTAGAATAAATTATTTCACTGAAAAATATTGAAGTAAATATAGAATAGTTATAGAAATAATCGGTGAGAAATAGATATGTAAATTGGTAAACACCTGTATTTTACGGATCCAGAAAGCTAGGATATATATAAAGAACAATTATAGAAAAGTTCGCTTTGGAATAGATTTACAAAGACCCGTATTTTTACGGGTTCGATCTCATTTAGTTTAATATAAACAATATAAACTTGGAAATATGGAAAAAGATCTTATCGATCTTGTTGCCAGAACCATATAAAAATGACAATATAGATATAATATAAAAAAATACAGGTAGTTTATAACAAAATAACAATAAAAACATTTGAAATAATAAATAGTTAAAATAATATCTCAAAAATATTTGTTTATATTTTCTGTTGAAAAAATAACATTCTTTAACTTATTTATAAAAACAGAAAAAGAAATAGGTAAAGCTAAATTATAATCTAAAGATCATAATTTAGCTTAATTATAATAAAGCTAAATTATAATCTAAAGAGCTAAATTAAATAAAGCTAAATTATAATCTAAAGATTATAATTTAGCTTTATTATAATAAAGCTAAATTAAAATCTAAAGATTATAAGATAAAGCTAAATTATAATCTAAAGATTATAATTTAGCTTTATCTATTTCTAATTTTAACCGTTTATTATTTCAAATATTTTGGATTGTTATTTTGTTATAAACTACCTGTATTATTTTATATATATATATATATATATATATATATATATATATATATATATATATATATATATATATATATATATATATATATATATATATATATATATATCATATATATACATATATATATATATATATATATATATATATATATATATATATATATATATATATATATATATATATATATATATATATATATATATATATATATATATATATATATATATATATATATATATATATATATATATATATTGGTTTGCATAAACAGCTTCAGTAGTTTATAAATGTATTTAAATAATAAATAATTAACTCACCATATTTAATAATGTTCTCGTTAATACAGAACTCAACTCTGCAGCGTAGTAAGTAAATTGAATTTGAGTAATCAACTAAACTTTAAAAAAAAATTAGTTAGTAAATACTAAAAAATAATAAATGCAAATCTCTAATCATTTATTTTTGGTAAGACAATTTTCAAAAATATGATGGATTTTAAATATATTAACAAAATTTTTATTGATTTCTAAAAAAATCAAAAAACATTTTGGTAATATATTTAAAAGAAACTCACTATAACAATAGAGTGCATCATGAAAGTTATAAATTAACTTGATGTCACATAAAATCTCAATGATCATATTTTTTGATCATATTCTAAACCCAAATATTCTTTAAACTAAGTTCTCGTTAATTCCAACCAACCGCCTAATATTTTAAAACGCTTTCGCATTCAATTAAAGGCCGTTTTCCACAGACGAAATATTCGCGCGAAGCGAATTTTTTTCGTTGATAAGCATGCGCAGATAAAACATTTCTGGCAATTATTGCTAATTATGGCCAGAAATGTTTTATCTGCGCATGCTTATCGACGAAAAAATTCGCTTCGCGCGAATATTTCGTCTTCTGGAAAACGGCCTTAAGTTAAGGCTGTCTGCAAATTTGCCGAGTAAAGAATTTTTTCAAAGGTCTTCTCCTATGTAAAATGACGCACTGTTAAGATAAGGTTTTAATCACAAAACTTCATTTTGTTCTAGTTTAAATAAACCTCATATCAAGAACCGTAAAAAGTCCTCCTTTTAGCAAAAATGTTAGCACTAATGTAAGAAAAAGCTTTTTAACCTTAATTAACAAACACTTTACAACAAATTAAAAACTTCACAAAACTTTTAAGACAAATACGATAAAAAAAAGTTATAGCTGAATCTCGAATATGAAATCTATTTCAAATGCACACAATCAACATATTGTAAACAACAACAAAATTCCAGCTAAAACTAACAGTAACTGCCTTAATGATAATATTTGTCCTTCATTAAACCAATGCTTGCCAAGACCATTCTATACTAGCCAATGTTATAAAGGTAACAACCGATTAGACGTAATCGATAAGTAAACAATACACTGAAGCGTGAAGCGTCTAACAGTCAAAGTTGATAAAACAATGGAAATAAAACGCGTCCGATCAAGACGAAATGATACAAATAGAGAAGAGGAAAATGAAATAGGAGAGCTCGCTCGTTGCTTGTTTTTTTCGCTCAGAGTTTGTAGAATCGTTCGATGGGAGAAAAAGATATAAAAGAAGAGGGGATATTAAGGAGAACTGTGTTTAGGATATTGAGTATAGTGAACATTAAGTTACAACTAAAAAAGGATAGTTAAATTAGTTGAAGAATATTAGTAAAACAGAATATATAGTAGTTAACTTATAATTGTTTTGATTTGTTATTAACTGTTGGTTTTACACAAAGAATATAGGCTTTGGGAATATAAATAAGTATATTTTAAATAAACAATAATTTAATATCACATAACATATCACGTAATGATCCTACTAATATTTCTGTCAAAAAATTTTATATCGATATAAATGAAACACCATTCAAAGTTAGATATGCCAACCATTTAAAATCATTTAACATAAATAATTACAAAAATGACACTGAACTATCAGAAGATTTTTGGAAAATAAAGAATGCAAATTTAAATCTCGTTGTTAAATGAAAAATAATTAAATAGTGCAATGCTTACAAGATACGGTAAAATTTTGCAAATTATGCATAAACAAAAAAATGAGGTTCTGTTCACTTTACCCAAATTAATTTGAGAAGCTATAGCTTTCTCAATCAATATAATAGCTAAAGAGCCTGGACGGTGTTGTGACATACTGCTTCTTAAATATATTTTTATGAGTTTCAGTTTTGAAAAAATGTTCCGCTGCAGCTGCTAGGGATTGCAATTTCCCGGACTTTTTCCATTCCCGGGATAGCGGGAAATATTTACGTTGTTCCCGGGATCCCGGTAAAGCACATTTATCACATTACAGTAATAAAATACAAATATATATATTTTTTATTATCCTTTCTACACTGTTTTTAAAACTATTTTTCTGACTTAAAGTGACAATTTAGAAAAACCAGTACATCCAGATGATTGTATGACAATCTAGTTCTAAACTTTGTAAAAAATTTCATCAGCAGCATTTGTTGGTTTGACTTGTTTCCATTAACATTAGTCAACGTCTAAAAGAACAGCAAAAATGGTATTTTATTTGCAACTGTTCCTAAAATTGCCTGATTTTCTGTTAATTGGTTACATTGCCGTTGATCACCAAATTCAGATTATGAGAACACTAGTGCACAAATCTAGTAGCGAGGTTTCGTTGTCTAATTCTTGCTTGTAACTCTAAGTAACTACGACTCATAATAGCAGCAACTTTGTAATCTTGACCACATCCTTTAAATAGATCAGTGAAGTTTTTTATAATTTTTATGACTGTTGTTTCTAATCCTTGCGATGTTTGATCAGATACCTGAGTAAATTCGAAAAAGATTTCCTTTATTTACAACTCCATTGGTTTTCATTTGTCATCTTTTCTTATCAAAACAATACGGTACTTAGCTGATTGATTTTTGATAGATCATGCGCTGTATCTGTTGTTATTATTATAAAAGGGGCCTCTTCTAAATCCTTTTTAATACAGACATTAATTTCATCAGCAAACATATTAATTAAGGACCCAAGTTGTTAGTATTGCATTTGGGTTTCATTAATAGATTGGACAAAATAATGACATAGTTGGAAAAGTAGTTTTATTATTTGTAGAAAATTTTCATGGAAATTTCAAACATCTTAAGGTTTTGTATTGTCCGTAATATTATGGGCTCGGAAAGGTAAATTATTTATAGAAACCGTTATAGTTACATCTACTATACCTCGCAATACTTTTCTGTAATAATTTACAGCATTGCTAAGTTTTTGCTGACTTACAATATGTATTTCTGAAACAGTTTTCCATTAAAAGTTTACCTCACAAGAAATTCAAATGTTGGCTATACTCTTGTCTTGTCGTGTATTTCAATATTTCTTGTCAAGTGCAACAGATCAGATGTTCTTCTTACTTTGTTCTCTTTAATCCTAAATCACAGTTGGATGCATCAAACAGCCAACATTGTTGGCAGTAACAAAATCTTTTTTTTTTTTTGTTGAATAACATAACCATTCTGTTCTTGTTTTTATACATCTATTGTATTTATAGTAATTTTTCTTGTTGAAAACCCTGTTTTTTTTTTGGCTGTCTGAATCTTTAGGGAAAGGCCCCATAGATTGATAATGACCAAGTTTAATAATTTTATATTTTTTTCAGCAGTTAGAGCTTTAGAAAAGTTTTATTATTGGCAAATAATAAAACTTTTCTCTATTGGCAAAGTCAAAATTTATATAAAACCAATAGCTTTGTGGAAGAACTTCAGTTGTTGTTTGAATTGCTTTAAGTGTTGAAGCATTATCATTTGTCTTGAAAATAAATATCTTGAGTTCGTAATTTTTTTTCCTTTTTAAAAAATGCTGATACTTTACCAACTTTTCTTAATACATCATTTTCTGCCTCTTGCTTTTCTATTCTATTTATTTTTAAAAAATGAGCTCTACTGAGTTTTTTTTAAGGTAGCCTACAATAAAAACGTATTTTCTGCAAATTCTTAAAAATTATTTGCTTATTTTTTACTTTCTAAAAAATTTTGTTTTTAGCTAATTTTGTAAACTGATGGCTTTTTAATATCAAATTTACCCAATTGGGGACAAAATAAAGATGTTTTTTAACATCTGTTAAACGTTCAAAAACGTCATTGTAGTTACCATGATCACTGGAACAGACTAATCAAAACGTGTACAAGATTCGCTTTTGTTAAAAGAGGTATGTTAGACAAGCAGCTAAGACGAGCTTAAAAACGAAGCCGAAAATAGTTTTAAATAGGGTTTCAGTGTTTCTAGTAAAATTTTTCCAACGGTTAGTTATTGTGGAGGCATTGCAATTTAAAAATCAAAAGTTTCAAAATCTAATTTAAAAGCTTTTAAAAGTTGTATTAATTAAATTAAAAGTTGTATTAATTAAAGTAATTAACTACTTCTTAAAAGTTTTTTCAATTGCTTTTTAACAATTGTTTCAACTCGCAAGAAGATATCACAGCAAAAATCATGATTAAGGTAAAATAATCGTTTCTTGCCTACCTCAAAATTAATATTTTAAAGAGAATTTTCCAATATTTCTGCCAATATTTTAAAGAGAATTTTCCTGACCTTTCCTTAATATTTCCTTGATCCTGTGCCTGTTATCTCTTACTTAAAGTTACCCAAACTCAATTTCACAAAAATTAGATATTTGTTAAGAAAAATTCTGTTTAATTGCAAATGTATAAACAATAACACAATCCACATTAAAATTATCAAGAAAAGTTCATGAAAACATCTGCTGAATAAAATTTTATATTACGTATACACTTATACAACCTACTTAAGTTGCGCTAATTTTATGAAGAGTCATTTTCCCAGATTTCCCACTTACTTTTCCAAAGTTCAATCTAGTTTTGCTTATTATACCCTAAATTTTGCAGATATCTGATTCTCTGACTTTACCATGTTTTCCCTGATCTGGAAGAAACCCTGAATAAAGTGTAACTGTTAAAGTTGTAGATCTCTTTCCCCTATCAAATGATATTGATAAAAATTCTAATGTTTTAGACAATTAATAATAATTTGTTTTACTTTTTTCCTTCCCCGCTTTCTTAAGCTATAGGTCTATTACGTTCCTAAAAAACATTTGTTTTGACCAGAAACTTATCTAAAACTGCCTAGATGTCATATAATTGCTTATACTTTTGAGGATAACAAACAAATTAACTGCTTGATGTTATTTATTACAAAAATATTTTATATATAAGAATATAAAAATATCCGCTTGTAATCCGGCAAATATAAATATAATTAACAATCTAATCTGGCCATTTATTTATTCTTATAAATAATATTTATAAAATCTAATCTAGGCATTTATTAATTCAATTTTGATTTAGATATTTAACAAAAGTTGCTTCAAAAAACACAAAAAAAGTAACTATA